CTCTGCTCGGTACTTCCAGCCCTGCCCAGAGATACACACTACCCCGCGCAGACCACAGTTCAATTTTGCCCCTAAGCCGAGAGCAAAGCAATTACACTTTAAATCCCCTTACGGCAGATATTTCTGAGCATGTTCAGGGGTAACCAGCACATTTGGCGTTCAGATTTTATTTCTGATTTGCTGGGAAAAGGCAATTAAATGAAAGGTTATGCAGCTTTTTTAAATGGCCAACTCAAACTTTTGGCTTATTTTTTGCCCTGCTGTCTTTATAGGCATTTTACCAATATTTATCACTACCTCCCTCAGGGAGCCCTCAGATCTGTGATATTTGAAATAACAAAGCCTCTCCGTTGTGGGCCCTTTAAAAGGTTCGCGGTAAAACTGCACCATTAACATTCACAGTTCCTCATTTATGAGGCCGGATTGCACTTATTTCCATATTCCTCACTGTTTTGCCAATGAGGATTTCATATGATAGTGTTTGAAGGCTAAAGACTTCAAAGCAAATTCTTTACCATCTTTATCTTGAAAAATATTCAATATTTGTATAATTAAAGTGAAGTCTTCCTAGAGAAAATGACAATTCAAATAATCTTAAATGTACCTCCAAGAAAGAAGCTGTCAAAATGACATTTAGCTGTATGGTCACATTCTCCAAGACGGCTGCTTCTCCTCCTGATTTCTTGTAATCTTTGAAGGTTATGTCACGGCTGACTTCAGATCACTTTTTAAATTATTACGGTCTCCCTTCAGTGTGAGTTCTGAGGGTGAGGGGCTCTGTCTTCCCTTTGCTCCACATTTTTAAATAAATAGCTGTTAAGAGCCACCAGAAAACATTTAAAAATGTTTTAAAACAGAAGCCAAAACAACAAAATCTTCCTTGACCCAGGTTTTGCCCCTAGTTACTATCCTATTACTCTTTTCCCCTGTACCAAAGCTTTTCAGTAAATTCACGTACCTGTCTTCATTTTCTCATCTCCTAAATACATGGCAAGGATTTGACAGTGACCTCCAAGCTCATTAGCAATTAATCTAAGGGAATTTCTAGAGTTCTTTTTTTAATTGACTGCCCCCCTGTCTGCCTCTCGGGTTTTCACTTCACACTCCTCACTTGGCGCCCTACTCAGTGTTCAAGCATCCCTTCATCTATGATGTCTTCAGAGTAGCTCAAGAGTTGGTATCATAATCCATACATCCTTGTGCCTTGGGCTGGCGGGGACATTCAGGAAGAAGAGGAGGAAGCTGGAAGGAGCTCAGGCGAGGGCTGGGGAACTGGATCCATCTTGGGGGGAGGAGTCCCAGCTTTAAACTTGGTGTTCAGAGGGCCTTGGAGAACCTGACCTGGGCCAAAACTAATTCTTGGGGTCCAGTCCAGTGGTCAGTAGGGATTTCCAGACAGTGCCTCTACTCAATGAAAATTCACCAAGTGTCAATTCTGTGTTACGCATTGTGCTAGGCGTGGGAGATGCTAAGGTCCTTAAGTTGCTCGCTGGGGAAGCAGACAGACAGAAAAGTAAACCCACAAGTATGAAAAGAAGAGTATAATTCAGCAATGGTGTTCATATCAATGGTCATAGAAACAAATGTCATTGTCTTTATTTCATCAATGCTCTTTCGAGAGTTTGATATGGGACGTAGTATATTGGAGAAGCATGATAGTGATTGCTTCTCACAATCAGGCACATGAATAAATAAATAAGATGCTTTGGTATTTTTATAAATAGCTGTTAAGAGCCACCAGAAAACCTGGAAACTCTTAAAGCTTTGCCATGCTACTTCCTCTAGAATCTTGCATTTTACACATTCTTTCCCCACGCAAACACCTGTTTTCTTCATTGCTTAGTCTGTTTAAACCTCACATCCCTCCACCATCTCTTATTTAGTCCCATCCATTAATTCTCCTGTCCCAAATGAAACAAAAATGACAGACTGCCTAACCAAGGAGAGTAGATTTTCAACAGGCAGTATTTCACAAGTAGGAGGAAAGAGTCAAGACAGGTATGATAAACAAAATAAGCTAATAATGTTGTAGTGTAACAACTTTCAGCCATACATTCCAAAAAAATTTAAGACCTTAAGAGACATGTCTGCCATGGAAGAAATAAAAACTTTAAGAGACGATGTAGAAAATAACAGGAAGAGTGAATTTTTCAACTTATGGTATGTGGTCAAAGCTTGCTCATTGCCAAATTCATCATCATAAATGCTTTCTATTATTTAAAGCATAGGTTTTAGGTTTAGTTAGACCTGATCCAAATCCCGATGCTGCCACTTGCTGAATGACCTTCAATGACCTTGCCTCTCAGCATCTGTTTTTCTATAGGTAAGGTGGAATACTGATGGCTTGCAGTGAGGAATAAACGTACGGAAAATGTCAAGAATAGCATCTGGTATTGGAGTAGGTACTTGACAAGTCGTAGCTGCAAGTGAAGATTTATTTAAGAGTTCTAGTTTTGTCCTACAACTATTCATTGAATTTTTAAAAAAGGAATACATAGATTTTCTCAGCTATTCAAGAGCTTTGAAATGATAGAAATGTGTCATACCTGTCTTCATCTAAGAAAGTCATCTTTGTTCACTTATTTTGACTTGCTGTGAGTGTTTCGGGCAATTTTTAATTAAGCCCTCACAGATTTTATACCATTAGTTATGTGGTAAGCCAATTATTTGTGAAAATAATATTCTTGCTTCCTTTGGGGGAATTTCCTCCACAGAAATATACAGCATCCAATTTGATGTGCTACAATTTCAGATATTGAAAAAGGACTTTAATTTGAGACGGGGTCCGTTTGGATTATTGAGATTCTACGACCTGAAACTGCTCTGTTAGTTCTGTTTTTCTGGCTTCTGGGAGAGGAGGAGATATGAATTCAATTAGCACCTTGGTGTTTTCTTTATCCCTCATTTCAGTATGGGAGATGCTTCATATGCACAGTGGTGTCAGGTTACATCAAAAGAGGGGGAAACAGTTTCTTGATTTTTAATTTGCTACCAAAAAGGAAAGGCACCCATTTTGTTCCGCTCTAATTAGTATGGGAGCTGGTGCATGACTTTGAGGGCAGGCAGATGCTTCAAAGGCGGTGTAACCAAGATCTTTATTAATTTCCGTGCAGGGTTTTCGCTTCTGCCGCGTCTAGGCCAAAGGTAACAGCCAGGAAGACGAGCAATGCAGAGTGCTAACCAACCTAAAGCAGGTGTTATCAAGAACAAGTCACGGTGGTGAGAAAATGGCATGTTCACAGTCTCCCACTTCCTTCTCCATCAGAAACACAACGTTCATTATTTTATTTAGGGATTCGAAAAATTATTTTAAAGTCAGTAACAAGTCTAATTATAAAGACATTTGCTGTGAAGGTGCTGGGATTAAGGCCAGTTTGCCACGCCCTCTTTCGGAGAAAGCCAGAATGGAATCATGCAGAATGTTCACTCTGCCACCAAGTCCTGCTTTTCTAATGAGGAAACAGAGGCCCATGTGGCAAACTAAGGATTAAACGACTAGTTAGCGCTCTGGTCCTTTCATTAAGCACTGAAATCTTGATCCAGTAATAGATTCGTCCGGTAAAAGGAGCTTCCTTAACTAACTGGTTCTCACTCACGTTCTTCAAAGGGCCTCTGCGGTCCTCTACACACCTCCAGAGGGGACTTCGCCTCCACTGCTGAGAGACCAAAGCCTAACCTGTTACAAGTGACATTCTGCAGCTCATGTCCCAGAAACACTAGCATGCCTGAGCTCCAGCAAGGCTGCCTGGGTGGTCAATCCATTTAATTCAGTGAGCACTTCGTTCTAGTTAGCTGAGCATCTACTTTGTGGCAGGCACTGTGGAGGTTCATAGATGAGAGAAACACTGAGACCCTACCCTAGCCTATAAAAACATCATGTAGGGAAATGTTTAAAATGTAGGTAAGCTCCGGGGCTTCCTTTAGGCTAGATGTCAAACTGAAATGCCTGCAGAGGCCCAGCTGACAACATAAATGAGTGATTTTGGCTGGATGTGAAACAATTTGGGTTTGGGGGGGGTGCAGTGCTGTGGGCTGTTTCCAGCTGGAGAGTGCACTCCTGTTTTAAAGGGACAGCCAATTGTGTTCCCATGCAGAAATGCAGGGCCAGTCTGGCCAATACTGAAGATTTCTCAGGAAAAGCCAGAAAGCTCAGTTTTTGGGTAAAATCCCTCAAAAGGACTGTGCAGGCCAAATGGACCCAGCCCAGTTTGCTGTCTCCCACTTAGCCATGTGCAGAGCGGTCCCAGAGAGCAGGGCGCAGTGCCCTTCAGAATCATTCTTTTTCATCCTCTGCCACAGCTTTCCTCGTCCTTTCTTCTCCCCCAGCCCCCTCTGGCCCAGGCTCGGGTTCAGCAGATGTTCCAGAGGAACACAGGGCATCGGTCATGGGCTCAGTATAAACAACCTTGAGCAACACTACTCTGGGGTAAGCACCTCACTGTAGACTTGCAATTTTTTTAAAAAGGCGATATTTATGATTTTCTTCTTTCAGGGGAGAGCTGTATCCATTTGATAAGCACTTGGAGGCTGACATGGGTTAGCGCTGTATGAAGATACACAGTAGAGAACTCCATTCTGCAGTGAGTGAAAACAGCATCAAATGCCATGTGAAAGTCACTGCCAGAAACATTACATTAGTGTTAAAACTGGGTTAAAAAATTCTAAAGGGACCAGTAGGCCAACCATTAAAAGACCTGCGTGTGACCCCTCTATCTTTCTCTCCTCTCTTTTTTTAAAGATTTTATTTAATTAAGGGTGCTTGGGTGGCTCAGATGGTTAAACATCTGCCTTAGGCTCAGGTGATCTCCTGGTCCTGGGATTGAGCTCCAGGAGCCCCACGTCTGGCTCCTGGCTCAGCAGGGAGCCTGCTTTTCTCTCTCCCTCTGCCCCTCCCCCCGACTCATGCTCACTCTGTCTCAAATGAATAAATAAAATCTTTCTTTTTTTAAAGATTTTATTTATTCATTTGACAGAGAAAGAAAGAGAGCAAAAGTAGGGGGAGCGGCAAGGAGAGGGCAGGGGAGAAGCAGGCTCCCCGCTGAGCAAGGAGCCATGCAGGGCTGGGGCTTGATCCCAGGACTCAAATGACTGAGCCACCCAGGCACCCCTTCTCTCCTTCTCTTAAAGAGATAATGTGAATATCAGAACAATAAATGCAGACAGACAGTGCCTTACCATATTTAAAACACTGCCTATGATGTAGGCGTCAGGAGCTGAAGGTTAAGAATGTCAGCCGAGGGGAGCACATGAGGAGTTAATGAGAGATGGGTAACAGAAGGAATGAATGGGATCCGAGGAGAAGGTTCGAGTTACCCCCAAGGAGAGTCTAGAAAAGGGAAGGAACAGACCATCAGAGGACTGGCATGTGTTTTGGAAGAGATGACCCTGGAATGCAAAATAGGAAAGTCAAAAGTCAATAGGGGATGATGGACAACAATGAGGTGGGAAAGGATCCGGGGTTATGCTATAGATATATGTAAACATGCACAGTGTTATACTGGAAAATGGCTAACCACTGGCCCTCCTGGGGTGGGGGAAAGCCTTGATTTGTAGCATTTGCTTATCATGCGATATAAATACTCCCACAGTGACTAGTTTCAAGCTATCGACGTGAAGGCGTTGAAAGCAGAGCCGGGAAGGGATGTGCACGGTTGGGCCCCCGCAAGGTGGAAGGTAAGGAAGGGGACATAACGAGGTCCAAGGAAACTCAAGATCCAGGGGTGCCTCAGCTATGAGGGGTAGCGACGTCTAAAGAGTGGCTCGAGGAGTGATGGCAGAGGTCCTGAAGCCGGAGAGGTGCACACAGAGATTAGAAGGAGCCCTCCAGCTAGGAGGGCGACTGTGGAGAAGGGGCTGGAGGATAGAGTTTATGATCAAGGTCCTGAAGCCATGGAGGGCAGTGTGACATTGGCTCAAGGTCAGTAATAAAAGTCACGGGATGTTATGCTCCATCGTCCATTGCCAGTTATTGAGCATCTTCTATGGGCATGATGCTGTGTGGACTCTAAAGACAGATAAGACAACATTCCTATCCATTTAGTAGGGAGATGAGGCCTGGACACACGAAATACAGTGTCATGTGACTGGTACATGTGAGGGACGCTATAGATTAAAAGATGAGGCTCTTAATATTAATAATAGATAGCACTTATTTGAGCCCTTACAATGTCCCCAGCATTGTTAGGTACTTTACCTGCATTCCTTTTAATCTTCAGAACAATACATTTAATAGACGAAGAAATGGAATTAGAAATTTTAAATAACTTATCCAAGTTCACACATCTGGCAAGTGGCAGAGTCAGGCTTGAAACCCACATCTTTCTGGTGCCAAAAAGCCTGTCCCCCAACCACTGTGTGTACTAGCCCCCCTCCCCCTTAAAGACAAGGCTCTGATGGAGATGAAGGAGAGTGTAATAGGAGATTTGGAGTTTCTTTTTAAAAAATTACTCAGCTTGCATATTCCTAAAGAGTCAATTCATGTTAAGAAATAATTTCCCTTGTGCTCACATGTGACATGTATTTTTAGGATCTGCTGTTAGCAAGTGTATTTTTGTGTGATTGAGTGGGAGAGTGGGAAAGTTTTGCAGAGCTGTTTAAACCAGAATGCAGGGGGCACAGCAGAGACTTCAAAATCTCTGTCATCTAACGTCTTGGAAAAACCACAAAGAGACGTGTTCTCAATTTATTATTCTATGTACATCCCCAGATGAATGACTAGTTAAAGGTATTGTTAAAGCATTTTAAATGACCCACTTCCAGCAGCGAACAAAATCACTTACTGTGCCAAGCCAACTGGCGTTTCTGAGATTATAAAACCACAAAGTGAGGAAAACGTTAAAACTGCTAAAGAAAAATGATACACAATAATGGAGAAGGATAAAAACTGAGCTTTATTGTCTGCATAGGCAGATGGCTGACCACTAGGTGGGCCTCAGTGTAATGTCCAGGGTAATTGGCTGCTGGGGTTTTTCTGGCGAGGAAGCTTCAGACTTCAGCTTGGTACACAAAATCCTGGCGCATTTCTTTCCTATGCCCTGCTCCCTGCCTTCTCCTCATGACTAGATCTGACAGTTGATCCCAGCAGGCAATTGAAAACAGAAAGTTACCTTTATCTTAAAATGCTATTCTGGAAATAACGACATGAAAGGTAATTAAGGACCGGATTTCCTATCCACCATTCTCTTCTGCATGTACAATTACCCGCAGATATAAAATTGCCTGCTTTGATAATTATACCCTCCAAATGAGGGGCAAGTGGCTAATTATGCCCACATGTGGCCGATTGCACTCTCCATTAGCCAATTATGTGCACGATTATTTGTGCACATAAATAATTGTACTCATGGAAAATAGCCGACCTCCTTTCAAATGCTCCTGCTTTGAGTGGCTGATGGAGCGACTGTCACACTGGAAATGTGTGTGAAAGAGTTGGGAGTGAAAGAGTATCAGATACCAGGAAACGCACAAGGGACCAGAGCTTGCGGGTAACGCTGAAGCAAATGGCAGTGGGAGTCCAGGAGAGCAGGAAGGACCACAGGACGGAAGGGTGAGCCTGTGGGTGAGGAAGGTGCTTCCGACGTTGGCTGAGTGGCTCACGTGTGGTGACCTTGAGCAAGTCATTAACCTTCCCCCCTTCCTACTGGTTCTGCATACACAATGAGGATGATAATAATGCCCAAGTCCCAGCTCTATTGTAGGATGGATCCGACAATTCAAAAGGATTTGCAGTCTACTTCGGATAAAAGCACTACGTAATATGAGGCATTACGATGTGGATCAGCACGTTTCCAGTTGCCAAGGAAAGGTAATGACCCTCCTTAGCAAACCAGGACCTCTGGCTTGGAGGGAAAGGAGGTGTGATAAGGACAGGAAGCTTGATCCCCCAGGGCACTGATGAGACACCAGAGAATGACGTAGTCATACAGAATTCATTCATTCATTCATTCATTCATTCCTTCAACAGACAAGAGTCAGCCTTTCACATGGAGCTGCTCTGATTAGTAAATGAGGGGAACTTTTACTTCACGCCTAGGAAATCTGGCATGGGTTTTCGCAGTTTGATTGGCAGGCAAACTCAATGCCAATGAATGCTGTGAGGTAGGGTCACTTTTAACAACGCAAGAACTGCGGTTTTCATGCCAATACTAACAAGCAGTAGATGTCACAGGGTAAGGCCAAGAAACAAGATAGCAGCTTTGCTACCTGCCTGTGCTCCCATCTTCCCTTTCACACACAGTAGGAGGAAGTATTCTGCCTCATGGGGGGAAGGAAAAAGATTCCCAGAGGCAAAAATGCTAAGTTAGTTTTGAAAGAAGAGGTGTTTGCCAGATAGGTGGGACATAGGGGGATGTGGTCATATTGTAGGAAACCAAGGTATAAAATTGCCTGGTCTAGGGTTAAATGTGTGGACTCTGAAACCAGACTCTGCCTGGGTTTGAATCCTGACTGTGTGATTTGAGCAACTTACTTAACCTCTCTGTGTTTCTGTTCACTCTTATAAGATGGGGATTATAATAGACTATGTCATAAAGTTCTGCAAGGGTCCAATTAATACATATATAAATAGAAGTATTTAGAGCAATGACTAACACAGAAGAAGCACTATCTGGCATCATTTTAATTACTAGACTAAAAATAGACCAAAAAGTCCATCCAAGAAAAGCAATACTAGTGGTTCTCAATCTTTAGTATGTCTAAAAATCACATGCATAACTGAGCAAATAAAGCAAATTCCTGGGTTCCATCCTCAGAGATTCTCACTCACTAGGTTGGGCTAGAACCCAGGATATCTTCACTTCAAACAAACATCTCCCGAATCCCACCCCATGTGATTCTGATGCAGGTGATCTGCAGACCAGGCTTTGAGAAATAGAATCACACAGAAGTGGCTCTGACCACATCCCATTTCTTACCTGGCATATCTAACATGTGAGAAGGAGATTCTAAGGCCTTGTGTTGAAGGTCTTTTTCTGGGATTTCTGCTTACAAGAGCCTCTTCAGGAACAGGCAGTGAGAACCCAGAATGGCAATAACAAGTCTCCTCCAAAGCAGAACTGTGTCTGCGCTGTATGGTCAGATGGGCACACCGGCAGCTTCCTCCTCTAACTCTTCTGTGTTTTCAGGAGACGGGATTTAAAAAAAAAAAATTAGTATTTTTATTATGAGATGAATCTCATGTCTCTAATTCTATAAATAAGGAAACCAAAGCATAAACATCTGCACTTAGGGGCACAAGTTACCAAAGCCAGATTGCTCCCATCTCCGGGTGATTCCCAGCAGTGGGAATGAAGGTGGACTTGCCCACAGTGCAAAATATTGACCTGTGGCTGGAGGCTCTGCATTTGCCAGAAAGAACTCGTTCTGCCTGCGGTGCGTCAATGCTTAAGGTAAGCGGTTCTTCAGAATGCTGGTTTTGAAAGCCTGGCTTCCCTAAATAGGAACATTCTAATGGTAGCAAAAATGAAAACGTCTTCTGAGTTGAAAAGGGACCCGCGGCGAAATGCTTATCACACACTCCTCCCCCTGGGCGATGAGCAGATGGCTGGCTGGCCTCCACCCCCAGAGGCCAAATGCTGAAGCAATCGTAGACAAGATACCAGGCATACGGGACACTTTTCAGAAATATGTTGTTGGCATAAAAAGAAATAATTGATTCATGATAATAAAAATGTTGTACTTATTTTTTTTAAAGAATTTAAAAAAAAATTTTTTTTAAAGATTTTATTTATTTATTTGACAGAGAGAGACACAGCGAGAGAGGGAACACAAGCAGGGGGAGTAGGAGAGGGAGAAGCAGGCTCCCCGCAGAGCAGGGAGCCTGATGCGGGACTCAATCCCAGGACCCCGGGACCATGACCTGAGCCGAAGCCAGTCGCTCAACCAACTGAGCCACCCAGGCGCCCAAAAATGTTGTACTTAAATACTATACCCCAAAAAGAAATTTGCTCTCCCCATATCTACATATTGAATCTTCATGAAGACACGTTCCCCTAAAAACCCACTCGTGCCAGAATGTGTGTTATACTTTGTGATGTATTCACACAGATCTCATAGACCCGGTCAGGAATCACAGATAGTAAAGGTCATCTGCTCCCTGCCTAAAGCCTGAACCCTCTGCATTTCATCCCTAAGAACAGCCTCTCCCCTCTGCTGGAGGGTGGATTTAGCGGCCCGCTGTCCTCAGCCCTGCTCTAGCTGACATTTTCATCCCCGGCTTCCAGATGAAAACATCGGAGGCATGCTTATCTGGAAAGAGCCAGTCAGGCCAGAGGGAGGGACTGAATCTAACAAGATGATATGTGATAAGGATAATCGTGAAGCCGAACTCCAGACAGGAGGAATCGAGTAGCACATTTTTGAGAACAGTGGAGATGAACTCTGGTGGCTGGACACTTCTCTGTCTCTCTGTCTGCCAGAGAAGCCCATTCCATCTGGATGGCTCAAACTGTTGGAAAGTTCTTCTCCACATGGTGCTCATGTACCTTCAATCCATTCCTGCGGTGGTGGGGGGCTTGCTCGCCCCAGCTTCCCCTATCTCTCCCTTATGTGTTCCCCTTCTGCCTTACCCCCCTCCTCCTGACTAACGAGTGCCAGCCACCCCGGGGCCTTTTCTCTGGTCCTTAATGGACCAAACCCATTCCTGCCTCCAAGTCCTTACACCTGCTGTCCCACCTCTTCCAAAGCTGCCTCCTTCCCATCCTTCAGGACTCAGCCCAGATGTCTCCTCGCCCAGGGTCAAGTGAGGCCCCCCCTTCCTCTCACTCTCTGTACCCTGTTAACTCCCTTCTAGCACTCACCAACATTTATATTTGCTTAAAAATGTAGCTATTTGTACACTCTCTCTCCTGTCCCCCTCGTTCACTGCAAGTCTTCATAAGCTGGTAATTTGGGCGCCTGGGTGGCTCAGTTGGTTAAACGACTGCCTTCGGCTCAGGTCATGATCCTGGAGTCCCAGGATCGAGTCCCGCATCGGGCTCCCTGCTCAGCAGGGAGTCTGCTTCTCCCTCTGACCCTCCCCCCTCTCATGTGCTCTCTCTCTCTCTCTTGTTCTCTCTCTCTCAAATAAAAAAAAAAATCTTTAACATAAGCTGGTAATTTAAACTCAGTTCATAGATATCAGACCTGTTACTCTAGATAATTATATATCATTTATGGTCCATCCTGTGTTGATAAGTTTATTTTAATTGTATTAGGTATGAAGAGAGCAAGGGTATTTGTTCACTTGTTCTTACCTAGGGATCTATCTAAAAAAGATTTAAAGTAGACATTTTGAGGGCCAAATATGTGTGATGACAAGGCGATCTTCTGTTCCTAGATATCTAGCCCTTCCAGCTCACTGTCCCGGCCTGGGCATGTCAGGCCTCGGGTCCCCTTCAGACCATGTGGTCTCTGGAGCTGTGGCTCTCCATGGTTGGCAGTGGCACCTGAGTCGGCCACAGGGATGGGATGCTGGTTGCACGGGACCGGGTCAGTCCTGACCTGGTCAGCGGGCCGGAGCTGTCGGGAGCCGAGGAGGTGGGTAGCTGCTGCTGTGAACTCCCTTCTCCCGAGACTGCCAAATGGCCATCAGACAGTGTTAATGACTTTTGATTTAGGTTTGAACAGAGCAGTCCCTTGGGCCATTTACTGTGCTGTATCATCCTTTCTGGAAAGTGCTCTCTAAGTAACTGCCCAGCAGACTGAGGAAATAAAATGCTCACAGAGGGGGAAAGAAAAAAACAAAACACAGAAAGCCTGACTTTTCGTAACACGGTGTTTAGGTCTAGAACTGGATCATGAAAGGGGCTTAAATTTTCTGTAATCATTGCAGAGAACACTCATTTATCCCCTCCCTACCCCTCACACCTGCCTGCCTCTGTCTCTCCATCACACACACACACACACACACACACACACACACACACACACACACAGTCATTGCCAATAGTAATAGAGTTGCTTCTTTACCTCTTGGAAAGAAACCTCATTTTGATGAAGACCGTGCTGACTAGCCTGTCTCGTAATTGTGGAGACAATGCTTTATGCCGATATCTTTGCACAGCTGAAGGGCCTGGTGGAAGCTGTCTTCTAAACAAAATAAGATAGAAAGATTCCTGCCAAGGGTTGGCAAAACTGCAGTCTTCTCTCCTCTCCCCAATGCTCACAGCTTCGGGCGGGGGGCGGGGTGGGGTGGTGACGAGCACGCGTGGGCAGGGTCCCCTGAAGGGAAGATGGGGGAAGAAATATATGTGGAAGTCAGGCTGGCTGACAGAAAGAATCTACCCCCGCTTTGGTAACTGCTCTGAAATAACTTGGCAGAAGTTTATAAAGACCTATTGCAGGGACTAGAGGAAGCCCTTAAGGCTGAGACATTTATCCCTACACAGACTCTTGAGAAGGTACCTTGCACAGTGGTCCGTATTCTTACTCTGACAATGCTAAAGAGAAGGACTGCAGGTCATGTCTCTCCTCCCACGATTATGACAGAAGGTGACATCTTCTGAGGGTTCACCATGTGCCAAGGGCTGATCGAAGCGCTTTACTGTATAATCACATCTAGTCCTCACAGTTATCAGAAGGGAGTGGGTATGGAGCAAAAACCAATAAGGGTGTCCAGGAATTGCTACCCTCTCTGGGCCCCTGTAAACATAGTAATTGTGTTTTCTTCTCCAAATGCTATGCATTGCTTCTATTGCTGAGGTATTCACTGTAGAAAGAAGACATAATAGTAATGATGTAAAAGGGTGCTGGTCAAGACAGCATCCAACTGCGGTGCTCACTGAAGGCTGAACCCAAAACTCCAGCTTCTCGATCATCCCAGGATGAAGATCGCTTGGTTCAAGGACAAGCCAGGTAAATGGCTACTCTTCCTTATGTAAATGAGCAGCCTTCCAGAAAAGTGTGAAGAGATCTTTGTATTTTCTGGGGTTCAAAAATCTGCCTCACTCTTTGGGTAAAGGGTGGTGGGTAAAGGTCACCCAGATAAGGGAGCCCAGTACATCTGGTTCTGTAAGGTAGCAGACACTGAAATGAGATCCACACTTGGAGCCCATATGCCCCTGGCTCTGTGCATGAACTGCAAGAGCTAATCACGAACAGCTGTAACTTTGGAACAAGTGAAACATCCTTGGCTAAGGTTGGCCCCAACAGAGAGGGCTCTCATCCTGTAGAAACCCATTGCATGTGTGCTTTCCTCTAGGCTGGAAAAGGCATGAGCAGACGAGTAAAAAGGCATCATGAAAGGGACTGTGACCTCTTGTGGAAATGGCGGTCTAGGTAGCCTCCGTTTCCATTTGGCATTGGAAGAAAAAGGACCCATCTTTGTGCTCAGGAAAGCCTAAAAGGTCTTGGGAGAAGGAAGCCTTGCAGAGGAATGGACTGCACTTTCTGGGGTGTTGACGAGGGAGAGAGGAAGGGCGAGTGCTGCTTCAGGCAGTCATTCAGGAACCTGGCTGATAGCTCATCTGCCATTTTTAACATTTGGTTTCCAAGGTTATTCCGGTCATTGAAGTCTCTACTCCAGTACACGTGAAAGAGGATGGCTTGGAGGAGCGCAGATGGGAATTTTTATGGGCCAGACATGAAATGTGCATATACCATTTCTGATCATACCTAACTAGAACGGGGGCTGAGAAATAGAGCCCCAGGAAGCAGCTTTTGTGGATAGCTAGCAGTTTCTGCCACCTAAGACAAGGGGGATCCAAAGCAATTAATTAGAAAAATATAATAAAAAATGGTGATGGCTCACATTTATTCAAAACTGACTATATACCAGGTAGCTCTCTAAGTGTTTGCATGGATCAACTCATTTAACCCTGACAACGGCCCCGTGAAGTCAGTGCTGTTATCATCCCCATTTTATAGATAAGGAAACTGAAGTCCGGAGGGGGTTGAGTAGAGAAGTGGTCATAATTGTGCCCTCAGGCTTTGAGCAGTTCCCACAAGTATCACCTGGCATCTGATGTGAGAAATGCTCAAACAAGGTGGGAACAAGGAGCAGAAGGGCACTGAGACTCAGTTGCCCGGTTGGGGATGGATGGATGAATGGGTTGGTCTTGAAGTTTGATAGAGAAGCTGATGCTTGACAACTTTTGTGGAGCCTTGAAGGGTAAGAGGGACATCACTGGAGAAACTGGTGGGTATGGCAGGCAGGAGGCAGAGGAAACCATACCACCCCCACAGAGACATGGGAGATACCATAGCATGTTTAGGGTCTTAAAGGATAATTCTTTTAAAGGTAAAATCATGGCCTCATGCAAATATGAAATGAACACATGTCAAGATTTTTTAAATTTATTAATTAATGAGGGAACCAGTAAGATGTTACAACTAGTTCAAAGGAGAACTCAAAGAACCACACAGGAGGCAATGAGGAATGCCGAAGTGAGCTTACAAGTAGATGCAAAACGGGTTTATCCACAGAGTGAGAATCAGCTATATTCCACTAGACATGATTCCGGTGCATTTCCATGCATCATTATCAATTTTATAAAACAGGCAGAGTTGTAAAAGAGCTCAATGACAATGAGAGGCATGACTAACCCACAGGGTGTGCTAGACAAGATGCCCCCGATTTATTTTTTTTTCTCATTTCAAAGTCTTTCACAGTTTTTTTCTGATAGGGACTATCAGTGATTCCGTGTGGCAGGAGGCGAGACTGTAAAGACAGTGGAGCCCAATTTTAAGGGGTAATAAAAGTCATGCAAAGGCATATGGACACCATCCTGTTGGTCAGTAAGTCTCACACTATTAATAGAGTGGATGAGACACCTGTCGAGCTTGTTCTCATGCAATTCTCAGGCCCAGCTCCTAAAGGGTCTGATACACTAGGTTTCAGGTGAAGCCTGATAATGTACAGGTGTAGAAAAAGCCACCCAGGTGATTCTAATGCACTTTGAGAAACATTCATGGAACTAGTAGAGAGCCATTGAAGGTTTCTAAGCAGGGTAGAAACCTGAAGACATCTATGTTGGAGCAGAGGAAATTTGATTAGGAGGAAGAGAAACTTGATGGTCCTAAAAGACTGCAAAGCAATAGCAAGAACAATTCACATTTGAGTGCTGATGGTGGCGCCTGAATGTATAAGGCACGTGGCATGTTTTAGATATGAGAGCAGACTGAACTAAATCAGTGTCAAGGGGAAGAAAGGAGGGAGCAGAATTAAGAGAGATTTTCACTACAGCCTGACAACTCCACCTCCTCCCAAATTCAGACCCAATGCTGCACCCGTGGATATGCGTCCAGCCTCTTCCTGGGCCCACAGGGACTGGCCTAGGCGCCAGATAGATAGGGAGACTTCCCACCAGTATAAAGTCTGGACTTTAGAACCCTCTGGATGTGATTCATGCTTTCTAATAATAATGGAGATCTGGGCCATAAAAAGAATCCAAGTTCCTCAACTCATATAGCCGCTCATCATTTGGATGGGGTAAAACACTGTCACTATTTTTAGTCATCCGTGAAATGAACATTCTGGGGAAATACAGTGAGTTGATGCACCACCCTTGAGCAGGGGGCAAAATGAATGCTCAGCAGGGATACTTGGTATTTTAAGAGGATGGCAAAGGGAAGAATAGTGGGGGTGGGGCAAAAACTGAAATAGATTTCCCCCAATCATCTATTACAATAGAAGATAATTAAATTATAATCTTAATTGAGTATGCATTCGTGGGTCCCCTATTATTTGAATTGCCTCCCAACTGTTCATGTACAAATATGATACTTTGAACCGAAGCTATTTTAATAAAACATCCATTTTCAGAAGCTGTAATAGGTTCTCCCAGGTCAGATTTGATAAGCTATAAAGAATAAATGCCAACTCATATTTTTCTGTGGTAATGGGAAATAAAGAGAAATGAGTGGTTCAAACCAGTAGTTTAATTTTAGACAAGAGTTTGACTCCTCTCCTGTCCTTTCACCGAAGCTGTTACCAAGTAACCAAGCTGGTTGGCTTGAGTCTCCCTGTTCAGCGTTCACCCTTCCTCCCCCCGACCCTCTGTGCAGACACTTTTCATCTGTTAAATGAAAGAGTGGTTGTATAAGGGGCTATCCTGAGCTAGGATTCCTGAGGCCTACGTTCTGATTCTCTCTTGACTGCTAAATCTGTGAATGACCTTCAGCAAGACGCCTAAGGTCTGTGTAGGACCGCAGGCTTGTCATCTCAAAGGTGGAGTTGATGATCCCGTCTCTTTCTTGAGCTCACACTGAGAAAAAGATTACATGACAGCAGTTATTGGAGAGCCTCATGGAAAGATGTCTTATAAATATTATAATTAATGTTATCATGAAGTATTGCTTTAGTGCAGATCTCCCAAGTATAAATATCAGTGGAGTAAGAAGTCAGTTTTCCCCGAAGCAAAACTGAAATTTGAAAATGCAAGTTAGAGGAGCTTATTTTGCGATGGATGATTCCAGAGGTTCTGCAACACATGTGATTTTTTTCCTACATGGACTATTGATGACAAATTTTGACTTAAAATTTCTTGTTTCTAGGTCTGTCCAGAACCTTAATAATAAAGCCCCATGGGAGGGTTCTAAAATATTTCATATAACAGTTTTCCTGACCACTGCATTTTCCAGAGAGTATCAGTTTATACAAAAGCTCAGCACCACTATGTGTTTGTCAGTTGATTAGAAGAAAATATACATTAATTATTATAAATGAGAACATTAATTTATTATATGTAATAAACATTTACAGATATATACACAGTATCATCCTTCGGCTAGTTTAGAGGTTAGAAGAAACTAGTGCAATGTATTGCAGTGGACAGAGGACAGGACTAGGAGTCAGGACACCTGGGTTCCTAGGAAGCACTTAATAAGGCTGCATGGTACAGCTTAGGGCTATTCCAACAGTGGACCAGCCTGGCATCATGGGTACCTGCCCAAGGAGCTTGTTAGAAATACAAAATCTTGGGTCTGACCCTAAATCTATTGAATCAGAATCCCTGAGTGTGGGCTGTAAAATCTGTATTTTAGCAGGCTCCTGTGGCATTCTGATGTACAGTAGAGTTTGAGAAGTACTGTGTAGTTGATCCTGACTTAGACTTACCAGGGATGTGACCTTGAATAGTTACATAATCTCACTGAGTTCGATTTTTCTCATATTTAAAATCTGCTCAAAAATGTCTACATTATAGGTTTGATTAGAGGATTAAACAAGAGGTTGATGTCTGGTCTAAGGCTGACATTTAATAGATGGTAGTTTCCTTGCTTCTCTGCTCTTCTGTAGACTAGCTGGTTAGGTGTGAGCAAATAATGAAGCTGTTCTCTGTTTAGTTTCTTCATTTGTAAAATGAGGGAGACATCCATTATATTCTGTTCACGAGGTGGTTACAAAAATCATTTGAAATTATGTGTATGACAGCTCTTTGTACACTTTACTTTTTTTTTAAGACTTTATTTATTTATTTGACAGAGAGAGACACAGCGAGAGAGGGAACACAAGCAGGGGGAGTGGGAGAGGGAGAAGCAGGCCTCCCACGGAGCACGGAGCCCGATGTGGGGCTCGATCCCAAGACCCTGGGATCATGACCTGAGCTGAAGGCAGACGCTTAACGACTGAGCCACCCAGGCGCCCCTCTTTGTACACTTTAAAAGGATTAGACACATCTAAGAGATTAATGGGCCTGGGTTGGTGATTTTTAAGCTCAAGAGGGTAATAAGATTGACCCTGTTTTGTGTCCACATAGAAACTCTAAAGAATATGCACATTTGCAACAGAGGTGTCATCCAGGGAAGGTGATCTGTTCATCCAAACTAGTCCCCACAGATTGGGCTTCCAGTGGTATGCTGGAGCTGGCTCATACCAGCTCATGAGGGCCAACTGTTAAACCTTCAGGAATCTTGTA